GAGGTAGAGGCTGTAGTGAGCTGAGATCATGCCACTGCTCTCCAGTCTGGGTGACAGAGCCAGACCCTGTCTCAAAAAAAAAAAAAAAAGTTAACTATATTTATACATATATGTGCTCGTAAAAAATATTATATATATTATATGCATACGTTTATATATTTAAGCACATATTTATATACATGTACACATTTTTTTTTGTTTTGTCTTTGAGATGGAGTCTTGCTCTGTCGCCCAGGGTGGAGTGTAATGGCACAATCTCGGCTCACTGCAACCTCCACCTTCTGAGTTCAAGCAATTCTCCTGCCTCAGCCTCCTGAGTAGCTGGGACTACAGATGTGTGCCACCATGCCTGACTAATTTTTGTATTTTTAGTAGAGACAGGGTTTCACCATGTTGGCCAGGCTGGTCTCGAATTCCTGACCTCAAGTGATCCACCCGCCTTGGCCTCCCAAAGTGCTGAGATTACAGGCATGAGCCCCCGCGCCCAGGTGTTTTTTTTTTTTTTTTTAAGCAAAAGAAATGTTATAATATCCTACTTTTGTACCCAATATATCTTAGAAAGTTTTGCATATACCCATGAAGACTTACGTCATTAAAAAAAGAATACGTAGTATTATACTGTAGTTTAAGTATTAGAGATTAGTTTAGGTAATCTCTATTGATAGAGATTTAGCTTGTTCCTAGTTTTTTGCTATTACTTCAGTGAACATCCTTGCTTCAGTATCTTTGTGTACGTGCACAGGAATATCTATAGAGTAAGCTTTTAGAAGTGTAATTGGTAAATAAGAGTGTTTTCAAGTCCTTTGCAGTATTCCTTCTGTCAGGCATGGCCAGGAGGTGGAATAGGTATTTTCTGTGATACCCACTGTAGTTTTGTAACCGTTTCTTTGCCTTCTTCCTTCAAAATTTCCACTATTTTAGAAGCTCATAATGTAGTCGCGCTGTTTTCTCCTGACCTCCTTTCCTGGTCACTTTTATTCCCTGAGCGACTTTAGCTCTGGCTTACTTGTCCTCCTTTTTCTCCTTCTCTTTTCAAAATTTTCAGTGACTTTAACATCACTGTGGATTACTCATCTGACATCCAGGTCTCTTTACCAATCCTCATCTTTTCTTCTACTCACTACAACTGCCCACATCCATGATTACAACCTAAACTTTTTCATTACGAGTATCTATACCCCCCAAGAAATCTTGAATTCAAAATATCTTTCTCCACTAACTACCTCTCAACTTCGAATTTACCTATACTAATACTCTTCTGTAATCATTCTTTGGCCTCATCAAATCTCCAATTCATTCACCAATACCTTTCTCATGATCCAATACTCTCCTCTGGTTTCCATTTCCCCAAATCCTAGTTGGACCCAACTATCTGCCTTTTCCACATTTAATCTGGAGCAGCTCATAGTTTCCAGAGGAAAACCACACAACTAGGCTCACTGGCTGTATTTTAAATTAATGACCATAAAACTCTCTAGGCATTCAACCTTGCCTAGAACTCCTACTTACATTTCCCTAGTAAACTTGATTCCTAGCCTACAAGATGACAGTTTCACAATGCTTTTTCTTTATACCCCTTACATTAGCTAACTTGGCATCATATTTTACTGAGAAAAATCAGACATGATGACCCCATGTTGTCACCATCGAAACTACAAACCTACTGTATCTATACATATTGCTTTCTCTCCTGTTAAAATGAAAGTACCTCTGTGCCTATCACAGGCAATCCCTCTATTCTCTGGATTCCTTAAGGACTTCACTTCTGCAGCTCTTTCTCTTTTGCATTACCTATATCCTCTTCTTTACCGGATAATTCTCACTGGATTATACATATGCTCTAGAATCCCTCTTTCTCTTGAGCCCACAATCTCTTCTAGATACCACTCCATTTCTCTTCCTCCTTTATGCAAAATTTCTTAAAAAGTGTTATATACATTTGCTGTCTTTATTTTATCTTATATCCCGTTAACCCCTCTAATTTGGCTTCCAACCTCACTGAAACCAGGGGAGAATATCATCAAAGACCTTCATGTTGCCAAATCAGATGCATCCTGTACTTTCTTCACCTTCTTTACCTCTCAGAGTTTGGTCACAGTTTATTACTCACTTGTTCTTGATGACACCACGCTTTGCTAGTTTTTCTCCTACCTTTCTGCTTCCTCCTCAGTCTCCACTGCTGGCTCCTTATTCTCTACTCAGTGCTTAGTCCTGGGCTCTCTTCTTTTCTCTTTTCTATGCTTTCTCTTTAAGTTATCCTATCTAGTTCCACAGTTTTAATATTACTAATATTTTTGCCAACTCTCAGTATGTGACATTTCTACTTGTTATCTAATAGGTATCCCCAACTGAACAAGAAAACTCTATTTCTCCTCAAAGCCTGAGAGTTATTCTTGACTTCCCTCTTACCCTTGTTCCATAAATCTGTGCCATTAAAGAAGTCTATTGATTCCGGCTTCTCTCTCAGCCTCCTACCCAAACCACTTCCATTTCTCACCTGGACTACTGCAGTCATCTCCTCAGTAGTCTCTCTGCTTTTGTTTTTGCCTTCAATAATCCATTCTCACCAAAACGATCTTTTAAAACACAATTAAGTTCATGTTACTTATATGCTTAGCTCTCCAATGGCTTCCTATGATATTAAAAAAAATCCTTTGCTAGGGTCTTTGAGGCCTGATGTGATCCAACCCTGCCTGTCTTTTCAACCTCGTATTTCCTCCTTATTCACTATGCTCCAGCCAAGCAGGGCTTCCTTCTGTTCCATGAACTTGCCAAATTTTCTCTTTCTTCAAGGCCTTTGCTCTGGTATTTCCCTCTGCTTTGTATGCTTTTTCTCCTAATCATGTGATTGCTGAGATGGGAGTCTCACTGTCACCCAGGCTGGTGTGCAATGGCACAATCTTGGCTCACTGCAACTTCCGCCTCATAGGTTCAAATGATTCTTCTACCTCAGCTTCCTGAGTAGCTGGGATTACAGGTGCCTGCCACCACACCAGGCTAATTTTTGTATTTTTAGTAGAGATGGGGTTTTGCCATGTTGGCCAGGCTGATCTTGAACTCCTGACCTCAAGTGATCTGCCTACCTTGGCCTCCCAAAGTGTTGGGATTACAGGTGTGAGCCACTGTGCCTGGTTTGGCTGTTTCTTATGACTCAAAGCTCATCATAAATATCACTTCTCAGAGAGGTTCTCTCTCCATCTAAAGTAGTCCTCCCTACCACTACAATTACTTTGAAGCTCATTATCCTATTTATCTGTTGTATAAAATATATCTGTTGTATAAAAGGACGAAGCAATTGAATTATTAATTATATACACACTTAGGTTACAGTGACAAATGGTAACAGATGTTGACAACTGATAAATGAGCATTTTGTTCAAAGAATATAATTTTGGGCTTTGTGTGGGAATGAATTATGCAAATCAGAAAGGTTTTCTGCTGTGTACTGATCATACACAGTATATTCTTCTGGTGGCCTATGGTTTCCCTTTGGCAATAAATAGCTAATTTCTTGTTCAGTAATTCTTTTTTTTTTCTTTTTGAGATAGAGTTTCGCTCTTTTTACTCAGGCCAGAGTGCAATGGCGTGATCTCAGCTCAGTGCAACCTCTGCCTCCTGGGTTCAAGCGATTCTCCCGCCTCAGCCTCCTGAGCAGCTGGGATTATAGGCATGTACCACCAGGCCTGGCTAATTTTTGTATTTTTAGTAGAGATAGGGTTGATCCCTGTTGGTTAGGCTGGTCTTGAACTCCTGACCTCAGGTGATCCGCCTGCCTCAGCCTCCCAAAGTGCTGGGATTACAGGCATGAGCTACCATACTCAGCTTCTTGTTCAGTAATTCTTATATGAAATTCATAAGCAAATTAATGTTTTTACTTATCACATTAATTAGAAGGCTTGAGAATACAGTTTTTTTTTTTAAACCCTCTCAGATAAGTACATAACTTTGGGCTGGTTTTCATTCTTCCCACTCAGCTGACATTTCTGAGTCTTATGCCAAGTTCCTTAAACATTTTATCTGAATGAGTGTACTCTCTGAATTTAACACCAAATGTTCTACCTCTCAACTTTGGACTTTTAAAAGATGATATTTTTTCTATTCTGTACCAAATTACAGAATTTTAAGGACAAAATGAAAAAATATACTTTACCATGGAAAAGAGTCATCTATGTGTCTCAAAACATTTTCCCATTCAGAATCTCATAATATTTATAAAACACTGTACTTTCAAGCCTCTTAGATGTTTATTAACTGAAATAATAGAATTATATCAACAGTAAAATTTTCACATTAATCTATCCAATAGGATTCAAGTTCATGTTAGCCCCTTTAGATGACATGTATCTAACTAAAAAAATATAAAAATAGGTAGAATTTATGTATACAGTATTTAAAATTTCAGGTTGGCCTAAATAAGTTGTTCTGGACAAGTTTTGTTTTTATTAAAAATTAACTAACCACTGGATTAAGGTAACAATTATTGCTTCCTTTGGTTAATAATCAAAAAAGAAAGCCTTTTTAAAATCCTTTTCTCCTGTGTAACAAACGGCCTTTATTAATTAGGTCTCTCAGTTTGTGTGCTGGCAACATTTGGCAAAGTCCAGTCCTCACCAAAAATAGTAACAACCTGCTCTGGATGGCAATCAAACAGCAAGCCTATTTTTGGCTTTAATGTTTGAAACACCAAATGCCAGATGCCATCAAACAGAACCTTAAATGGCATAAGTAAACTGGTCTGATACTGAAATACAGAAGATGATGATTTGAGGCTCTCCAAAACACCTATTTCATAAGTACAAAAGAAATAAATGTTTCAGACTTAGCAGGGGAATTCATATCTATCACTGATATATGTAAAACCAAAAGAATCTTAAAACTGATAAACGACAAGGGAAGGAGGAGCAGAACGCTATTATCTCAGCTTTAGACCTTAACATGACTCTAAATTTTCATTTGTTCAGTGTTTCTGACTTTTATTACTAATATCTTTGTTAGCTTACCTGTCTCTGAGTGTGCTGGGGCCGAGATAAGGATACAGGTTTTCCTTAAGCTTTCCTTTGATAAGATGATCCAGGGTTTCATGTAGGAAAGGTTGATGCTGTGTATATACATTTTCTACTCCCTAAAACAGAGGGAAAGGTTCTTATGTCATTTTTATGAAACTAGCAACATAAGAATCAACATTTATTATCAGAAAAGGACATACACTTAATAGAGATTTCATGGGACAGATTTAAATAGGAACTGTGAGAAATTTAAAAATTATTTTAATCAGCCAGAAATGTTCTAATCTCATAAAAAATACTCTTGTAATTTAGGGCTAGTTATTGTAGAGGAATTTTTTTTTAAAAGAATTGCTTAGCCGGGCGTGGTGGCTCACGCCTGTAATCCCAGCACTTTGGGAGGCCGAGGCGGGTGGATCACGAGGTCAAGAGATCGAGACCATCCTGGTCAACATGGTGAAACCCCGTCTCTACTAAAAATACAAAAAATTAGCTGGGCATGGTGGCGCGTGCCTGTAATCCCAGCTACTCAGGAGGCTGAGGCAGGAGAATTGCCTGAACCCAGGAGGTGGAGGTTGTGGTGAGCCGAGATCGCGTCATTGCACTCCAGCCCGGGTAACAAGAGCGAAACTCCGTCTCAAAAAAAAAATAAATAAATAAATAAATAAAGAATTGCTTAAATCCTTTATTGTGTCTTCATTGCCTCTCACTCTTTTGTGAAAATGTTGAACGATAGGTAGAGCAAATAAAAGGATCATGGATATTTAAAGAGAAAAGATTGGAAACACCCAGGAAAACAGAAAAACTTCAGGAAACCTAAGAAAGGCCAGGAGAGTAGAACTAATTCTTGAGTATTTCAAGAAAACAAGTTAGCATTTTTAATAGATCAAATGTTTGCTTCATTTTTAATTTCCTTCAAAAAGAAACTACCTAACAAATCTTTAATTATAAACAAATGGAGTAATATATCTGTGACTAACAGAACTGTTTGTCTTTTCCTTCTTGAGTATTTCCTGGAAATACTTCAGTTATTTCCTGCTCAGCTATTTGGTCCAATGCTGATACAGCTCTAATACAGAAAGCACTAAGAGAAAAAGCTTTCAAGAGGATGTCAGTTTTAATTTCATTTAAGTGACATAGTACTAAATCAGCAGCAATCCTCAAGGTACTTTGAAAATCATATTCATTCACTCTCAGCCTCCGGGGCTTCAACTGTTCTCACGTAGGAGAGCACAGAGATGTCTATACCTTCAGTCCTTTGAGGAACTGTTTGGTGATAGCCACAGCATCTTTGGGGCTGAAGAGGTCGCTTCCTCTGACTCTTTTACCACCATATTCAACAACTGCAGACACGAGCTATTAAAAAAGAGAAGCAAATTTTGATTGCTTATCAGGAAGCTCATTTCGTAAGAAAATTATTTCATTAAAGAAACAAAAATGAAAAGACAGAGTGATACATTTCTGTAAATAAAAATAGTATGATCTATCATTTGTTAGAGCTAAGAATATAATAACAGAGTTCATTCCTGTTTGGTGGGCTAATACGGAAAATGATTACCTTTCGATACTTCTCAGAAACACCTTTATTCCTGAGGTCCATCATTAGTCCTGGCAGGCTATTGCTGCTGTGTCGCTCATAATGTAAAGCGTAAAGCATCACCAGGCGGGCGGCATCAAACTCTGTCACTTTGGGGTTCTGAAGAAGCCTTTTTACATTCTGAAGAGAGATAGAACTTATATTTATCTCCCTTTCACTTCAGTGATCTGTTGTACAATGCCTTAGATCTAATAATTATTGAATGGTAGTGATACATCTGAGTTGATGACTGAGATTACTACTATGACAATTATAAGTCATAGATATTTAGCAATAGTCTCAACTATAGAAAATTAAATGCCTTTTGTCCAAGATAAGAATTAAATAAGGAAATACATTTCCATTGTAATTGCTTTAGGAGAAAAATGAATTTAATAATGGATAGCTCCACTTTTCTTTTCCAATAGCTGAAGTTGTAATTTCCTTGCTGAAAGAAGAAACACTTGCTATTTCCACCACTTCAATCAATATAGCACAACAAAATTGACTAGTTAATTTGCAAACACTACTGCTTTCTCTTAGTATTAATGATTGACAGTGAAATGGAGACAAGTTGGTAGAATTTTACAGACTGGGCTTAATCTCTAAGAAGAATCAGAATATGTCTCAACATGGTTGACAGAGATGAGTATGTAACAACATGTGATCTCTAAATTGAGTACTTAATGATTTTAAGAGGTGGGTACCAATAGAAAAGGGAGCGAGGAGAAACCAGGTTTACATTTTTTAATCCTCATATTCAGTACCTTCCATATAGTACAGATTTATATTTATTATGCAGCAGAACAATAATGTAATTCAAGCCAACAAACACTTTTTGAGTCCCCATAAGGCAGTATGTCAGGTACTCTTGCGGGAACACAGATAAATTAAAAACAATTCCTGTCTCCAGTGAGTTCACAGTCAATGGGGTGAAGGATGATCAAAGTAATATAATTTATTCTGCTATAAACATGTTTCTTGAATGTACTTTAGTTCTGTGAGATTGCTAAATATGGAAATGGTATCAGTTTAACACAGAAGGCATACTGGTTCACAGGTAATTTTTCCAGAATGGATAGGCTTTCTTATGGTTAAAGGGGAAGCCTTACAATATCTTTTGAAAAAAAGATGAAAATCCTACAGAAGTGTGTTCTGCAAGAAGTATCTGGTTTTATAGCTTCAAGAACTGGTGCACTTTCCACTGTGTTAAGCTCTCTGGGGGAAGGGCAAGTGCAAATAAAAAGGATGCAAATATATTGCACTGTGTAAAAAAACAAAACAAAACAAAATAACAATCAAACACCTATTGATGAAGAAAGCTATCTCCATATGGTGTTTTTAATTTTGAAAAAGTAGTCTTTATGAGAAGTGAATACTTTCAAGACCTTATAACGAAGAAAACATGAGCCCCAGAAAAAAGGCTGCAGAGGATGGACTGGCTCTATTTCTAGGTGTAAATGCTGGTCTCTACCATGTTAGTATTTTTATTATAACTGTTACTATTTTTATTAGGGCTTTGATAACAAAATTATGCGAATTTTAACATTTCTTTTTATAGTTATACAGATTTTAAGTGGTCTGCTTATAACCCTATATTCTCATAACCCTTTTTTTAGTGCATGTTTTTATAGAATGTGAGGTTTTTCAGGAACAAATATGCAGTGTTGTAACAGAGACATATTTATGCAAAAAACAAAAGAAAGCAAAAAGCAAAAGCTGGAAATTAGTGTAATAGAGGAAGGGGAGAGAAGGGAAGAGAAAGTATACCTGGTTGTTGAGAAATCAGGAAAGACTTCATAAAGGACTTGACATTTGCCAAAGGTCCTGAAGAATCAATAAGTATTGGAACCAGTATGAGAGACTGAGAGCAGTGGCACTATCAACATAAATACGGAAATCAGATGAAGAAATCAGGTCGAAACGCTGGCAGAGCCTTGGAGGGCACTGAATTCTGAGCACGTAACTATCAACTGTATGAATACAACTTACAAGATGCTTTCATGTACATTATCTCTTTTCACAACAACCATGTCCAATGTCTAAGAGCTCTTCTGTTCACACTGACTAGGGACTATGATGACAATGGGAAACCTCCCAGGTAGCTTTCAAGTACAGAGTTCTCTGAGAGGGATTTCTATTGCTGATTTTTTGGGTTAATATTTCACTATCATCATCCTTAGGGATCAAAAAGGGAGAAACTTCTCTTCTGTAGATTTCGATCCCAAATTCAAACGATTTTTCTTATTTTTTTTTCCTTTCATGGTATCTTTCCCCTTGAGCAGCCATGGAATACAGTCCATTTAGACTATCTGTTCAAATGTTCCACTATTTTCTACTATAATATGAAGAAATTTCAGGTACAATTATTTATTTATCTCAATCAACAGCATAAGTTGAAAACATTAAGAAATCCCATTTGGGGTCAGGCGCAGTGGCTCACACCCGTAACAAAGTGTTGGGCACTTTGGGAGGCCGAGGTGGGTGGATTACTTGAGGTCAGGAGTTTGAGGCCAGCCTGGCCAACATGTTGAAACTCGGTTTCTACTAAAAATACAAAAAATTAGCAGGGTGTGGTGGCAGGCGCCTGTAGTCTCAGCTATTCAGGAGGCTGAGGCAGGAGAACCTCAGGAGGTGGAGGTTACAGTGAGCTGAGATCATGCCATTGCACTACAGCCTGGGCAACAGAGTGAGACTCTGTCTCAAAAAAACAAATAAATAAATTTTTTTTTTAATTTTAAAAAGAAAAGAAACCCCATTTGGGATTTCTGTTGTCACTTTTCTTAAAGGCATAATGTCTCATCTCCTGCCCTTGCAGTCATTCTCTTATCACCTTTTCTGGCTAATCTATCTCTGTACTGTTAAGCAAATCTGAGAAATCCAAGTAAGTATAAACTCACAAAACTGGTATGACAGTCAAAGACTATTGCAGTAATCAGTCTGCCCTTTTCTAGTTACCTTCACTTGGATTTTGACTCTTGGCTGTTTCTTACTAGAGACAGTAAGTGTTGGTGATGATGTGGAGAAGTGGGAACCCTTACACACAACTGGTGGGAATGTAAATTAGTACAGCCATTATGGAAAACAGTATGAAGGTTCCTAAAAAAATTAAAAATAAAACTACTATATGATTTAGCAATCCAACTACTTGGTATATATCCAAAGGAAATGAAATCAGTATGTTGAAGAGATATCTGCACTCCTGTTTACTGCAGTGCTATTCAAAATAGAAAAGATATGAAGTCAACCTAAATGTCCATCAACAGATGAATGGATCAAGAAAATGCAGTATTTAGGTCAGGCACGGCGGCTCACGTCTGTAATCCTAGCACTTAGGGAGGCTGAGGCAGGAGGACAGCTTGAGCTCAGGAGCTGGGGACCACCCAGGGCAACACGGTGAAACTCCATTTCTACAAAAATACAAAAATTAGCCGGGCATGGTGGTGTATGCCTGTAGTCCCAGCTACTGGGGAGGCCGAGGTGGGAGGATAGCTTGAGTCTGGGAGGCAAAAGTTGCAGTGAGCCAAGATGGCACCACTGCACTTCAGCCTGGGCATTAGAGCCAGACCCTGTCAAAAAAAAAGAAAGAAAGAAAGAAAGAAAGGGAAAATAAAATAAAATGCAGCATATATAAAATGAAATATTTACGATTCAGCCATGAAATAGAATAAAATCCTGTCATTTGTGGCAAAACAGATTAACCTGGAGGACTTACATTAAGTGAGATAAGCCAGACACAGAAGGACACATACTGCATGATCTTACTCACATGTGGAATTTCATAGAAGTAGAGAGTAGAACAGCAGTTACAAGAGGACAGGAGGTTAGAAATTGGTTAATGCAGCTGGGCGTGGTGGCTCATGCCTGTAACCCAAGCACTTTGGAGGCCAAGGCGGGTGGATCACCTGAGGTCCGGAGTTCAAGACCAGCCTGACCAATATGGTGAAACCCGGTCTTTAAAAAAAATAAAAAGAAATTGGTTAATGAGTACAAAGCTACAGTTAGATAGCAGAAACATGTTCTGGTGTTCTATTGCACAGTAGGATGAATAGAGTTAACAGTAATGTATTATCTATGTCAAAACAGCTAGAAGAGAGGTTTTTAAATGTTCTTATTGCAATGAAATGACAAATGTTTAAGGTGATGGATATGCTAATTATCCTGATTTGATCATTACACAATGTATACATGTATTGAAACATTACACTGTATTCCATAAATCCGTTCAATTATTATGCATCAATCACAAAAAATTCACTTCTATTCCTTGAGACTTGGTACTGGTATTTAGATTGCCTGGCTTGCCTCTTAGTTCTTCATTGAGGACTTGGCTCAGATCTGACCAGGCTTAATTTGAGAACTATTTTGCCTACTTTTGAGCCTTTAGGACCCAACTCATGGCTCAGGTCCATGTTCTAGCTAGACGTATCTATTCTCTCATGAAAAGAACCTTTAGGTACAAGCTGAGTTCTTTCTTTTCTTTCAGCTATATCAGTCCTTGGAAAAGCAGGACCTTTTTGTCTGCTTTGATCCCATGTTATCCTTTGACTTCATTTTGAAGGATTTCCCTCATGGCTACTTGACTCATCAACTTGGTTGATAGTGGCATACATTACACTGAGATTTCAGGGCACTAACCAAAGAAGAGGAGGAAAAGGAATCAGAGAGGCTTCTAATTACAAAGCAGGTATATGCTACATGGTAGTATTTATCTGTTGGAAATATAACTGAATTATATAATTTTTTGGTTTCTCTTATTATATTTTCCCTCAGCCTTGTGACTATTAGAGAGAAAACTACACTGTCACATTATAACAATGAGTGAGGCCGGGCGCGGTGGCTCAAGCCTGTAATCCCAGCACTTTGGGAGGCCGAGGCGGGTGGATCATGAGGTCAAGAGATCGAGACCATCCTGGTCAACATGGTGAAACCCCGTCT